TGCTCCAGCATGGGGTTCCTCCCACAGGAGAGAGTACTCCACGAACTCCTCCAACGTGAGTCCTCCCCACAGGCTACAGTTCTTCATCAACTGCTCCAGCATGGGCTCTTTCCCCCAGAGTGCAGTCCTTCAGGAACAGACTGCTCCAAAGTGAGTCCCTCGCACCGTAAGTCCAGCCAGCAAACCAGCTCCAGCATGGGCTCCTCTGTCCATGGGGCCACAGATCCTGCCAGGAGCCTGCTGCAGCATGACCTTCCCATGGGGTCACAGCCTCCTACAGGCATCCTCCTGCCCCAGCATGCAGTTCTCCATGGGCTGCAGGTAGATATCTGCTCCACTGTGGAGCAACTTGGACTGCAGGGGGACAGTTTGCCTCATCATGGGTCTTCACCATGGGCTGCAGGGGAATGTCTGCTCCGGCGCCTGGAGCACCTCCCCATCCTCCTCCTTCTTCACCAATCTTGGTGCCTTCAGAGTTGTTTGTTTCACATATTCTCACTCCTCTCTCTGGCTACAATTGCTGTTGTGCAGGGTTTTTTTCTTTCCCCTTCTTGAATATGTTATCACAGAGGTGCTACCACTGTCATTGATCAGCTTGGCCTTGGCCAGCTGTGGGTCCATCTTGGAGCCAGCTGGCACTGGCTCTATCAGACATTGGGGAAACTTCTAGCAGCTTCTCACAGAAGCCACCCCGTAGCCCCCTCAGCTACCAAAACCTTGCCACACAAGCCCAATACAAGGAAGTTAATTAACCTACCTTTTCTTCTCTCACGTTCTTTCAAAATAGCTTCCAGCCATTCTTGCTTCTCTTCAGGGGTTTTTGCCATGCATACAAACCATTTGTTCTTTGCTGTGTTGTGGATCTTCCAGCCATTAATGACAGTGTGACCACTGCTGTGATAGTCAGCTGGGAATCAAAAAAATGGCTTAAAAAAGCAGTAATTTTTCTCATTATTAAGAAGTCTTGTACATAAAGCTTACAAATACATAAAGCTTAGGAAATATAGAACAGAAGTTAATTTGAAGTTATCTATGCCTCTTCTGAACTGTTGTAACTTCATAAGCTGCACATTTAACTTTTAGTAAATAATGTCCTTTTAAAAATGTAACAGTGAATTGCCTAGCATATGGAAGAAGGTATAAACTCGCCACTAAAACAGGCAGAGTCCTACTAAAAGAACAGATCATGATAGTTAGAATACTTTTGTTTGTGTTACTCTGTAATAAATAACTCCTTAAAAAGCAGAACTGTGGTTTTATGCCTTAAATTAATCAGAGATGCTGTGCTGATTGAATAATTTACTACTATATTTAACAAAGGACCAAATACCCTTCCATTTCATAAGAAAATAATATAGTTTTGATGTATCTTTACTGGTTACTTGAATTAAAAAAAAATATATACACTTAGTTGTTTACAGAAATTGAAATATAATACAATATTTACTATTATTTCAAAAAATGCATTAACCAAATGCATAACTTCTGAAATATGTTTCTAACAACCCTATGTTCAGTGTGGGAGAGAGGTAGCAACTGCTGATCTTCTTACATATCTAGAACTTCTGACTCTTAACACGTAATCTGCTATGCTATAAAGAGCAATTTACTTCTTATTACTCTTTCTTTACTTACATAACATTTGATTTTAACATGCTAGCCTACAAGTCTTATTCAGAAATTAGCTAAACATACTTTGTCTCCAAACCTAACAACCTTGAATATCCTTGACTAGGATTACATGCATTTCCTGGGGGAAACTTTGTGAGGCACAAGTGTCCCATGATAACAAATACCACGTTTTGCATAAAATACAGATTAAAACCAGAACTAGCAACTATTGCAAAAAACATTAACAAATCAAAGGTCAACATTCTCTCACCATAAACTTTCATTAAGAGGCAAGAAAGTCCTGGAGTCTGCCCTGATCTACTATAACAACTCCAGAGCTTTTTACTTTGTAAATACTTTTTCATAATTCAGCCCTGTTTTGTGTAATAAGATGGGATTTTCCGAAACTGAAACCCTTGCTGAAATGCTTGCAAAGATTTATCATAAATCTCAGCAGACATGCTAGTATTCTTTCAATAACTCTGCATTTTAATTAGATGGAAAGCAGCCAAGCTTTGTATGCTGGGCTGGGAAATGTCAGGAACTACTAGAAAACTATGAGACTAATGGCTACTTTCTAAACCAACAAAACTTTCTAGTACTCAAAGTGTATAAGAAAGTGCAAGCAAGTTTATAACAGGGAAAAATGAAGTTATTTTTGCAACACGATGTTTATACCCTATCGCATTTTTATTCACATAACCTATGCATAATATCCATTGTCCCTTTAAAAACACTGCTTCTTGAAAACTAGCCATCATATCATTCATGCACTGTCAGAAAATCAAAATCAAAAGTCAGGGAAAAGAAAGAAGCCTCAGACAGACACTCTCTGACTGACTGCAGCCCTTTGGAGACCACAGGCAGGAGCACTACTGGAGGAAAAAAGGTTAAGATCCTTTTATATTATTTAAGCATGTATTTATAAGCCTTGCAATATGGCACTATCTGTATCTTTTTTTAATTTTATTTGTTAAGTTAGACGTTAATACATCTAAAACTATAGGGTGATATTTTTCCTGTAGTCTTCGTTACGTTATGTCCATTATCACAACACCCATGTTATGTAAGAAAATATTATGATCTCTAATGCAGTGAACCATAGCTGGCTAATTCTGGCCAATGAATTAAAAAATTAGACTCACAAATGGATTTAGACTCTCCCATTTCACTCTGGACAGATATTTGGTGTCAACTTAGTTGAAATTCAGAAAAAAAATGGCTTATCCAGCCACTTGAATATCTCAATGTAGAGATAACATTTTAAACATGCTGCTTCCTTGGCACCTGAAGACCCGTAACTGCAGGGCCACGAGTACTGACAATTGGACCATATTTCTCGCACACCACTACAAACTCACTGAATGCTGTGAAAAGCCCTAGCTAGGTATTAAGACTGCCTAATATATGAGTTCATGTGAAGGAAAACAGATAGCTATTGCCCAACAGCAACCCACTTATGTGATGGTCAGCTTGATTCCAACCTCTGCCTTTAACTGCAGCACCCCTCCTTTCTCTTTTGCTCCCTGTGTTCCCCGTGACTGCAATCCTCTGAGGCTTCTGTGAGCAATTTGATCTCCCCACTACACCCATGCCCATAGTCTCCTGAAGAGCATTTCAGCATTCCGCTGTCATCCCATATATATTCATACCTTTTTTGGACTGGCTATTGGACAAAATCTGATCAAGAGCTGCAGACGTGGTAGGCAGCCAGCCAAGGAGGTGTGCATGTTCTGACTGGCCAGCTGCACAAGATATATGCACACTCCTCACATGAGGGCAATCACAGTTGCCAGTCAGGCTAAAGAAATGATCTGCAAATGTCACATTATGTTTACAGAAGGAAGATGAGCATGAGACTTCAAGTTGCTCCATGCAAAGTTTGAACAAGCATACTTAACCAGCTTCCCAAGAAAACATGATGAAAGATGACATCATCTTCTAATGACACTTGGTAAAACATTGAGGTTTGTAATCTGAACTGTAATATATTGTTCAGAATTCAAGATTCAAAACTTTGAGAGACGCATAACACACAATTTGTTCAATAGAATGTTTCTACCATAGAATACCATAAATCAATTCAATAGAATTTGTTTCTTCCCTTAAAAAAAAAACAAACAGAAACCTCTGTATTGAAGTATTTCTAAGTTTCTCAGACTGAAGGTTCTTAGGAGCATTAATGCTCAAAAATACCACGGAAATAATTGCTGCATAGTATCAATTCCCTTCCTCTTACATATATTTTTTTGATGAAGTCTCTAATTATTATCATGTAGTGTTTTTCCTATTTCATGCCTCATTTCAAGACAACAGGGTACAGAACTAAGACAGTATAAGCAACCATAACTCTGGTATTTCCTAAGTCTGAAGTACTTGTCATCATAAACTAAATAGCATTCACTTAATGGCTGCGGAATGCCTTTAGAGTAAATAAAATACACTTTAATACACTTTAAATACATTTTTCCCTCAAAATTGAATTTTAAAAACCAAATAGAGCAAAAGCTATACCATCACAACATATACACCTTTCTAGGACTTGCAAGTGGTTGTGTAGCCACATGTGTTTTTAAAACACAAATACTGTGCCTTGATAATATGTATTCTACTTTAATCGGTGCAATAAAAAAGGCAGAGTGCTTCACAATGCTGAAATAAAAAAGAAAGCTTCCACCAAGTGTACTGCTCAGCCAAGGCCTAATTTCATTACAGAAAAATTGCTTTTCAGAAAAAGCTTTGCTAATTTCTGTAGGCATGTCATTAACATGACAATAAATCCCACTGTGAATCTGTTTTCCTATTTCTATGCTTCAACTTACAAACAATGAAGACTACATTCCTACATCTATCAACACTGAGAGCAAACACTCTCGGGTACCTTTCTTCCTGGAGCCCTATGGTTTCTTATACCAAATGAGCAGAGGATCCCAAAATCCACAGTAAAGAACTGTGGAAGTGTCATCTAGACTCAAATCTTTAATGTCTAGAAAAAGCAACCCAGGAAGAGTACATGAGAAAACATCACGTCTAGAAATGAAAATATAAACACTCTGCACTCAGAGCTTGCACTCTAAACTAAGAATTATAGAAAGTGATAGGTAATAGATGATTAAGGAGAAGAAAATAATACAGTATCAGAAAAAGCACATGCAAAGCTAATGTGACCAGATTACTACACTTGGGAACGTGATGAGACAAAAAGAACGCAGGAGAAGAGTACTGGGTTACAGTTCAAACGCAGATGACTACAGGGGATGAGAAACAAGGCATCTGGGTGCAACAAATGAGAACAGTACAGAAACCAAGATAGAGGAAGGTTAAAGAAGGGCATCATGATCTCAGTGAAAGAAAAAGTAGCAGTGTGAGGAGAGGGAATACACTTCCAACTACAAGGAAGGAAAACAGATTTTCAAAAAAGAAAAGGGGAGGCAGTGGAAAGAAAAGGGCAGAAAGGTGCCACAGGCCAGGGAAATACCACAGACATTTCTGTTTTTCAAAGAGAACCACACAAATGAGGGATGAAATAGCAGTAATTACACAAAAAATTATTTTAGGATATTGGACAAACTGAAATAGAGAAGGTGGGAAATGTGGGGATATGGGAAAAAAATAAAAGCAAGCAAGAATAATCTAGAAATCAAAATAACCAAATCATTAACTGATGTCTCAGAAATGTGGAAAGGAGGACAGATTTTAGACATGTTGCATATATAAAAGTGACAAGATTTGATATGGGTCAGGAAAGCAAGTAGGAAGGAAGCATGATAGTCTTCAGTATTCTGTGTGAGGCTATAGGAAATGGGGACGGTAGCAAAATTTCCTGTGGCTGGAGGAAATTAGACTACTGGCGTCTGGAGTGGAGAGGAAGATGATTTGTGCTTAGTCAAATTATACTTGAAGATTAGTTGAGGAAGAAAACAAATGTGCAGGAAGGAAAATGGATGGCGTGAAACAGATCAAGGACTAGATAGGTAGAACAAGCAAACGAAGAAAGCTACAACGTATTTTAGAAATACAAGAGAGACATGGAAGGAGGAAGGAAGAAATATTTAGTAAATACGACATCAAAATCATGGCAATATGTGGGATCAGAACCAGTGAAAGGAAAAAGTTACAGAATTCTTGGAATATTGATCAGGAAGAAGATGGTGGGTATAAGCCTCTGTGGCCACATTACATCAAGAGTTATAAGTAAAGAGATGCCCTCTTAGAAAGTGACATAATGGAAAACAGGTGAACTGTCTGTTATTTCTAAAGCATATATAAGGAAGATGAAGGAACATAAATAAAAGGTATTCAAATAATGCATGACGTAGAAGACTGAGGCACTCAACTGTCTTTTTTGCATAAATAAAGCACTAACTGAGAGTTCATACAAATAAAGTTAATAATTGGGCAGGAATAAAAGCAAGAAAAGGTAAATAGCAGGATTCAGAAGACTGGATAAATTATATTCAAGTCAATGAAGCTTGATGGAATTCACTATAGATTAATTCACCCACAGATATCTCTAGACCACTAACTTGGTGGGCCTGGTGAAGGACATAGCCCCAAACAGATATCAAGGAGTTCTTACACATCTAGTAAAAAAAGAGACTGAATCAAGTGTGACCCCACAGTGCTCTACCTTGGCTTACTAATAAACATCCCACTTGCAGCACTACATTAATTATTCTGTTCCACTTGGCACCAGCAGTTTCAACTCTGGACACCTCACACTACAAAAGATGCAAAAAAACTTTAAAAGAAACCGAAACTCCAAAGGACACAAATAATAAAAACTTAGAGAACATGACCCATGACAAAAGGTTGAAAGACTTAAAAAGAAGATTGAAGAGAGACATAACAACTTTCAATAAACTAGTTTGTTGCAATAAGAACAGTAGTCAAACTGTTCTCTAAGTCTACCCAGCAGAACAAGAACTGAGTGAACTACTTTGAACTATTAACTTTTATGAAGGACTTCTGTGAACCTTATGTAAGCTGTACAATCCTTGTCATTAATGCTCAGTTTTAGAAAGAAGGTACATTAAGAAATGCCTAGAATTCACTGTAGATGTAGGGCAAACCTAACATTATTTTAAAGTCAGGAGAAGTAATATATATCTCACAGAAATTTCCTCCAGAAACACATATTTGCAAAGCCACTGCAAGTTTCCCAGATGTTTTTGTGTTGTTTGGTTTTTTTCAGTTTTACATTAAAAAGTCTAAAATGTTTCAGGGCTTTTTTAATCAATTTTGAGGAAATAATAATTGTTAAGCTCAAAGGTTAAACTCAAGTTTCTAAAACAAAAACTTACATTTGTAGAAATACTTTTCTAATGTATGTGAGAAAAATTTCAAGCAATCATATGGATTATTTCCCTAAAAGTATTAAAGAAAACCCTTCCTTTCTTCTTAAACACTTAAGTTACAATTTCAGCATTCATAGTGTTTGAGGTTTCATTCCAACTTTTCCATTTGCTTTTACAAATATATCACATACCTAGGGATAACCTATTTAGGAATGCTGGAATGCTGCAAAGTGAAGTTTAATCTATAATTTCAGTTAAGCGATAAATGTCACCTTATTTTATTACTCTGTTCATGTTACCATAAACCACTCATCTATGACCACCCACCTAATAATGTATGAAAGCAATGATGTGTCACAGAAGCAGAGTTTTGATATAAGCATATAGTCCTTTTAAAGTGACATCTTACTCTTTCTTTCTAAGTCCAAGGAGCACTCTCCATTCTCAAAGAAATCATGAAGTTGCATTTGATCTCAGCACCTGGAAAGACTGCTCTGTAAATGAGCAACACAAATACACTCACCTGTTCCATCATCTACATTCTCTACTTCCATCACTTCTGTGTTTATTCTGCCCCGAAAAAGGTAACGATGGCCATCTGTAGATGCTTTGCTGTTCTTCAATCGCCTGATACAGGAAAGCAGAGAGAAGGATGTCACCCACGACCTTTTGCTATGCTTCTGCAATGCTGCCTGTACATGGAGCATTTAAAGACTACTGTACATTTATACATGTGCAGTTGAACTGGGGAAACCATTACCAAATGGGACACTGCTGATGCTAAAGCAAAGATGCTACCTCTGATAAGAGCAAGCTGAAAACTGCTGGCTGATATGAGAGTTTATCAGGAAAGTCTCATTGTGTAAATTCCTTGTTCCAACACTGGTACTGATATGCCACTGCCTGCCACCAAAGACAAAATACTGCACTAGGAGGATCTTTCCTGCTAACTGGTTTAAGCTTCCTTATAAATCTTAACCTACACACATTAGCCTCATAATTGGGATTTATGCATGAAAGAACTACAAAGACATTTTTTCTTCCTCATGTAAGGGTTTAACAAGAATTATAATTAAGAACTGCTAAAATTTTGAGGAAGTTTCACAGTGAAATATTCCAAAGCACTCTGCATTCCTATAACTCCGTTCCCAGTGAAGTCAAGGTGTTTTGAGAATCCCAGGTCTAGGCAGCTTTTCCTACCTCAGATAAGCCAGGGATGATTTTCTGTCCATTTTGGCCTATAATGACAATTAATACCATATATCAAACAAAGGTCAGTTCCTGAGAATTAATGATCATCTGAATTCTGACCTTCACACACTTCAGAGAGGTACTAATCTCTAGAAAATGACCTGCCTCTCAATCATTACTGTCTAATGAGTTGCATTGCTATGTTGTAAGTTTCTTACTAAAAAACTGAATAATATTTTTAAAAAAACAACTAAACAAAATAAAAAGAACCTGCAGCAAGCATAAAGGTTCAGTATCACATTTTTTCTCTCCAAAGCGAGGTAAATCCAATAACTGTAATGATCTTTGTACCTATGAATCCAAATTTAGCAGTTCACGTTTATACAACTCCGCAGCAAAAGGATGCATAAAACTACATCAAGTATCTTGTACCATAGAAATAGGGGAATTTTTGTAAAATTTCCAAAATACGAATCTCCTGTGGGCAACAGTCTCTTCATCTACTTGCCAATCAATATCCGAAGTATCTTGCTGGCATATAATCAATTAATTATCCACCATAGACCCTGGATCTAGGTTCTAAATTGAGTTATTCTCATGCCTGCAGAGGTATCACCATGGTACGAGTCAATGACATATAGGACACGATTATTCAAAACTAAAGAAATCATTTCATGTGTTTTGGGATTTTCATCAAGTAGTGCATTTTAGCTAGAATATGACCACAAAAATATGTAATTTAGCAGTGGACAAGTGAAAAGATACTACGTAATAAGTACTTTAATTGCAACTGCTGGACAACAAACATTACAAAAATTAGAAATTTTGAAAAGAGCACAAGTTTATATTGAACCAGTCTACATAAAAGTGAAACTGAGCAGCTGCAGAATGATATCCTTGAAGTATACTCAGTATTCAACACTAGCTACAATCACAGTTCTTAAATGGTTCATTCTCAACAGTTAAAAAAGTTCTGCAACCTAAGAGCTGAAACTTAAAAACAAAGGACTGACTCACTATAGCTAGTGAAGTATAAATTACATATCTTCTCACATGTAAATGGTTCCCTGTTAACAGAGTCATCTATAGGAAGAAACCATATTCACTGGGGAAGAAGATTTTTAAACCTCCCTCAGGGTTAGCCAGCAGCTTCTTCAGTAACAACATACTGGAAAAAACAGCAATTCCAGTCCAGTCTGAATAAGGTCCTTGCAGAACAAGCTCAGCAGCTTTACAATTTAGAGAGATCTCTATAAGACATTCTTGATTAATAGGGTATATTGCTACTTTCCACTACTACCACTTTCTACTTTCCATACCACATACTGATGAACCCGATCTTTCCACATATTGGTTCAGTAAGAAGCTCTACAGGTGTTACAGTGAATCTAGCCACAAGTCTGTAATTAGCACAGGAGGAGAGAAAAGGAATATCTATCAGCTGCTTTCATGTATAGGAGTAAAAACTTATCTGGAAAAATAATTTTTTAAATATTTAAAATAATACTTCGGAATGATGAGTCCTATGCAAATACTCATGTGAAAATAGCATATATAAGCTATACACAATAGTAGACAGCAAGAGTCCTGTGTCTGGGTTGGAACAATCCTCATTACTGATACAGACTAGGAGATGATGTGCTGGAAAGCAGCCCTGAGGAAAAGGACTTGGGGGTACCGGTGGATGAGAAGCTGGACACGAGCCACCAATGTGCATCTGAAGCCCATAAGGCCAATGACATCCTGGGCTGCATCACAAGAAGTGTGGCCAGCAGACTGAGGGACATGATTCTGCCCCTCTAATCTACTATGGTGAGACCTCACCTGGAGTACTACATCCAACTTTGGAGTCCCCAACACAAAAAGGACATTGAAGTGATGGAGTGTGTGCAGAGAGGGGCCACAGAAACCATCAAAGGACTAGAGCACCTCTCCTATGAAGATAGGCTGAGAGAGTTGGGGTTGTTCAGCCTGGAGAAGAGAAAGCTTCAGGTGGACCTTATAGCAACCTTTCAGTGCCTGAAAGGTGCTTATAATAAATCCAGGGAAGAGCTGTTCACTAGGGCATGTAGCGATAGGACGAGAGGTAATGGTTTTAAACTAGAAAAGGGTGGATTTAGGTTGGATGTTAGGAAGAAGTTCTTCAACACGAGGGTGGTAGATCACTAGAACACGTTGCCCAGAGAGGTAGTGGAGGCCCGATCCCTGGAGATATTCAAGGTCAGCCTTGATGGGGCTCTGAGCAACCTGATCTGGTCACATTCTCCCTGCTAGACTAGTCCCTTGGACTAGAAGATCTTCAGAGGTCCCTTCCAACCCAATACATTCTATGATTCTATATTACAGGTTCAGAGAAAAACATCTTTCACTTGGATGCTACAGACAATCCTAGGCACTGCTAAAAGACAGTTGGAAATAAAGAATGAAAGTTGGCTATCAAATCTGGAACTACTCTTGAAAAATCTTACAGCACTTGCACTGATCCAATGGATGTGGCTGTGGTGATGACAGCAGAACTTGGATTTATGAAGGATAGTTTCAGCAGCTGCAGACAGTTTACTTGACTGGACACTGAGGTTGATGGTGGGGTTTCCTCTGACACTATCTCCAAGTACTCAGAGGCAGAGGCAAAGATAATGGTATTTGGCAGTGCTATTGGAAGCATGCTCAAGGTTTATCATGTTATAAAGGAATCTATCAAGGATCTACTCAGATGTTAACTGCAGAAGCTTCCTGCTCAACTAATGAATTGCCCCTCATATGCAGCAGGCCACAGCTGTCTGCCTGTTTTCCCTGATTAGAAATACAAGGCTTGAAACTCTGTAGAGACTGATTTTATAGCATAAGCTACAATACTAATTTGTTTGAACTAAAAATTCAGTCTGTTTACCATTCCCAGAAGAGAGTGAGGCCATCACATATAACCTGTTGTGGAAGAATGACAAAACAGAGTCTTTCTCTCTGTACTTCGCCATTTGCATTCTGCATTCATACAAAATCTTTCCAACGTTTGAATTAAATACACTTCTCTCTGGTCTTCCCTAAAAATGCTGACTTTTCTATTGCAATTAACTGTAGTAAACACTTTTGTGCTGTTCAAATATTCTTATGAAACAGCATACAGAGGATTAGCTCTACTGTGAGAATACTACACTATTTTTCAAAGTATAAATTAATCATTTACCTGTGCTTTTTTTTGCAGTAGACCAAAAGGTTATCAAAAAGAAAAAATATCCTCTCTTGGATATTTCCAGCTGAAATTTTCAGTAGTAGTCCACTTCGCAGCATTTCTGTGCATGTGTCTGTGATGTTGGACCCCTAAAATCAATTGGAAAGAGAGTATTCTGTGAGAACTGAAGGATTTTGCACCAATTAAGGAAAGGTTTCTTATACAAACTCACAACTGTAATGACTTTCTGTAAACACCAAGAATAAAACTCATGGTAATTTATTACACTGTAAATAATTTCTGTTGTTTACTTAATGATGCTTAACACCAGCTTCATATTCATTTAATACTGCCACTAACT